TGGATCTCGACTTGGTGCTCCGTATACATGAACCACTTGTCATTACAGAATCAAGTACGCCAGAAGACAGGTCACTCTATAAATCGTGGGAAAGTTCCAATCGCTTGAACGTGAGTCTCATGAAGACTCATGTCAGTAAAAGCATCGGGGGATCAATCCCCAATGTGATAAGGTCAAGGACTTCATAAAGGCTATTGAAGAGAAATTTGTAAGTTCTGACAAAATGTTGGCTAGCACCTTAATGGAAAGGCTTTTAGGCATGAAGTTTGACAATTCAAAAGGAGTGCGTGAGCACATAATGGAAATGAGGGACATTGTTGCTCGTCTTAAATCCCTGGAGATAGAGATTTCTGAGTCATTCCTTGTTCATCTCATTTTGAACTCTCTACTTACGGAATACGGTCCATTCAAAATATCATATGACGGACATAAGGAAAAATGGACTGTAAATGAACTCTTGACAATGTGTGTTCAAGAGGAAGAGAGGCTGAAACATGAGAGGTTGGAAATTGCTCATCGACAACTCATTATAAATGAAATGAGAACAAGGGTAAATACGGTCCTAAAATGAAGAACAAGATGCTAATGAAGCAAAATGGCAATAAGGATATTTGTTTCTTTTATAAAAAGAAATGACATAAAGAAGGACTCATTGAAGTATAAGAAATTGTTTGAAAATAAAGGTACTCTCATCTCTTTAGTGTGTCATGAATCTCTTTTGGTTAATGTTCCAAACAATACATGGTGGATTGATTTAGGTACTACAATTCACATTGCCAATATTAAGCAGGGCTTTCTGAACCTAAGGAAACCGCAACCAAATGAACAAAGAGTCTATTCTGGAAACCAATTGAGTTCAAATGTTGAAGGTGTGGGAACATTTAGATAAGTTTTGAATTCTAGTTTTCATTTTGGATCTTAAAAATACCTTTTATGTTCTAGGTTTTTCTCGTAATTTAGTTTCTATTTCAAGACTAGCATTGGGTTTCTAGTTTGTTTTCGAACATAGAAGTTTTAGCTTATTTCAAAATTCTGTTATTGTTGGACATGGTGTTTTGGTTGATAATTTATATAAATTTGTTTTAGATCCCACTCATGAGTGTAATTTAATTGAACTACATGGTGATAGTATTGGCAACAAGTGTTGTGTTGGTAAAGAAAACTCCTCTAAGTTATGGCACAGGAGATTGAGACACATCTCCATAGAGAGACTTAAAAGATTAGTAAATGATGGAATTTTATCAACTCTTGACTTTACTGATTTTGGGACTTGTATTGACTGCATAAAGGGAAAGCAGACAAATAAGACCACTAAAGGTGCCAAAAGGAGTTCGGACATTCTTGAGATTATTCATATGGATATTTGTGGACCTTTTCCTACTCCTTGACTAAATGGTCAAAGATATTTTATCTCATTCATAGATGACTATTCAAGATATATGTATCTCTATCTTCTAAATCATAAGGATGAGGCACTAGATGCTTTCAAGATTTATAAAGCAGAAGGAGAGAAACAAAAGGAAAGAAAAATCAAAATTATAAGGTCAGACGGGGATTGAGAATATTATGGACAGTACACAAAAATGGGACAAGTGCCGGTCCGTTTGCTAAGTTTTTAGTAGAACAAGGTATCATAGTACAATATATGATGACATGCACACCTCAACAAAATGGTCTAACTGAAAGAAAAAATAGGACCTTAATGGATATGGTTAGGAGTATGATGAGCAATTCAAGTCTTTCTTTGCATTTATGGAGTGAAGCCTTAAAAACTGCTGTGTATATTTTAAACAGAGTTCCATCTAAAGCAGTTCCAAAAACACCATTTGAAATTTAGAACGGATGGAAACCTAGTTTGAGACATATACACATATAAGGTTGTTCAGTTGAAGTGAGGGTTTACAATCCTCATATAAAGAAATTGGATCCTAGGATAGTTAATAGATTTTTCATAGGCTATCTTGTGAACTCCAAGGGCTATAGATTCTATTGTCCTTCAGACACTCCAAGGATTGTCGAAGCTAGAAATGCAAAATTTCTAGAGGATCATAAAGGGAGTGGGAGTGAGTTTCCTAGAAATATTGATTTTCAGGAAATGAAAGAATCTGTTGGGTCATCTTCCAATCATGGCATATTGATTCATTTCGAAAGAAAGAACTCAATTACAATTGGAAATGAACCAACTCAAGAACAACCGTTACTGTAAGATGAGATAGTAGGTATAAGGAGATCCTCAAGAATAAGGAAACCAATAATTTATAGCGATTATGTTGTGTATCTTCAAGAGTCCGATATATGTGTTGGACTTGACAATGATTTTAACTTGTTTTCACAAGCCGTTGAAGGAGAAAACTCAAAATTTTGGTATGATGCCATGAAGGAATAAATGGAATCTATGGCTAAAAACCAAGTTTGGGATCTCGTTGAATTGTCAGATGGACATACAACAGTTGGTTGCAAATGGGTATATAAGACCAAAAGAAATGCGTCGGCACTATAGAACGATATAAGGCCAGACTTGTAGCTAAGGGATTTCACTCAAAAGGAAGACATCAATTACCATGAAACATTTTAACCAGATTCTAAGAAAGATTCATTTAGAATTATAATGACTTTAGTAGCTCATTTTGATCTGGAGCTACATCGAATGGATGTGAAAACAGCGTTCTTGAATGGGGATCTTGAAGAAGAAGTATACATGAAACAACCTGAAGGATTTACTAGTGATAAAGGT